TATTTCAGTAGTGTCTGTTTCGGTAGTGACTGTTTCGGTAGTGTCTGTTTCAGTAGTGACTGTTTCAGTAGTGTCTGTTTCAGTAGTGTCTGTTTCGGTAGTGTCTTTCAGTAATGACTGTTTCGGTAGTGACTGTTGCAGTAGTGTCTGTTTCGGTAGTGTCTGTTTCAGTAGTGACTTTCAGTAATGACTGTTTCGGTAGTGTCTGTTTCGGTAGAGACAGTTTCAGTAGTGACTGTTTCGGTAGTGACTGTGTCAGTAGTGACAGTTTCAGTAGTGTCTGTTTCAGTAGTGACAGTTTCGGTAGTGTCTGTTTCGGTAGTGTCTGTTTCGGTAGTGACAGTTTCAGTAGTGACTGTTTCAGTAATGACTGTTTCAGTAGTGTCTGTTTAAGTAGTGTCTGTTTCGGTAGTGTCTGTTTCGGTAGAGACACTTTCAGTAGTGACTGTTTCAGTAATGACTGTTTCAGTAGTGTCTCTTTCGGTAGTGTCTGTTTCAGTAGTGACTGTTTCGGTAGTGTCTGTGTCAGTATTGACTGTTTCAGTAGTGTCTGTTTCAGTAGTGTCTGTTTCGGGAGTGACAGTTTCACTAGTGACTGTTTCAGTAATGACTGTTTCAGTAGTGTCTGTTTCGGTAGTGACTCTTTCGGTAGTGACTCTTTCGATAGTGTCTGTTTCGGTAGTGAATCTTTCGGTAGTGTCTGTTTCAGTAGTGTCTGTTTCAGTAGTGACTGTTTCAGTAGTGACTGTTTCAGTAGTGACTGTTTCGATAGTGTCTGTTTCAGTAGTGACTGTTTCGGTAATGACTGTTTCGGTAGTGTCTGTTTCGGTAGTGTCTGTTTCAGTAGTGTTTCTTTCGGTAGTGTCTGTTTCAGTAGTGACTGTTTCAGTGGTGTCTGTTTCAGTAGTGTCTGTTTCGGTAGTGTCTGTTTCGGTAGTGACTGTTGCAGTAGTGTCTATTTCGGTAGTGTCTGTTTCGGTAGTGACGGTTTCAGTAGTGACTTGCAGTAGTGACTGTTTCGGTAGTGTCTGTTTCGGTAGTGTCTGTTTCGGTAGTGTCTGTTTCAGTAGTGTTTCTTTCGGTAGTGTCTGTTTCAGTAGTGACTGTTTCAGTGGTGTCTGTTTCAGTGGTGTCTGTTTCGGTAGTGTCTGTTTCGGTAGTGTCTGTTTCGGTAGTGACTGTTGCAGTAGTGTCTATTTCGGTAGTGTCTGTTTCGGTAGTGACTGTTTCGGTAGTGTCTGTTTCAGTAGTGACTGTTTCAGTAGTGACTGTTTCAGTAGTGTCTGTTTCAGTAGTGTCTGTTTCGGTAGTGACTTTCAGTAATGACTGTTTCGGTAGTGTCTGTTTCGGTAGTGTCTGTTTCGGTAGTGACTGTTTCAGTAGTGACTGTTTCAGTAGTGTCTGTTTCGGTAGTGTCTGTTTCGGTAGTGACTTTCAGTAATGACTGTTTCGGTAGTGTCTGTTTCGGTAGTGTCTGTTTCAGTAGTGACTTTCAGTAATGACTGTTTCAGTAGTGACTGTTTCGGTAGTGTCTGTTTCAGTAGTGTCTGTTTTGGTAGTGACAGTTTCGGTAGTGTCTGTTTCAGTAGTGACTGTTTCAGTAATGACTGTTTCGGTAGTGTCTGTTTCGGTAGTGAATCTTTCGGTAGTGACTGTTTCAGTAATGACTGTTTCAGTAATGTCTGTTTCAGTAGTGACTTTCAGTAATGACTGTTTCGGTAGTGTCTGTTTCGGTAGTGACTGTTTTGGTAGTGTCTGTTTCGGTAGTGACTGTTTCGGTAGTGTCTGTTTCGGTAGTGACTCTTTCGGTAGTGAATCTTTCGGTAGTGTCTGTTTTGGTAGTGACTGTTTCGGTAGTGTCTTTTTCGGTAGTGACTGTTTCAGTAGTGTCTGTTTCAGTAGTGACTGTTTCAGTAGTGTCTGTTTCAGTAGTGTCTGTTTCAGTGGTGTCTGTTTCAGTAGTGTTTCTTTCAGTAGTGTCTGTTTCAGTAGTGACTGTTTCAGTAGTGACTGTTTCGGTAGTGTCTTTTTCGGTAGTGACTGTTTCGGTAGTGACTGTTTCGGTAGTGTCTTTTTCGGTAGTGACTGTTTCAGTAGTGTCTGTTTCAGTAGTGTCTGTTTCACTAGTGTTTCTTTCAGTAGTGTCTGTTTCAGTAGTGACTGTTTCGGTAGTGTCTGTTTCGGTAGTGACAGTTTCAGTAGTGTCTGTTTCAGTAGTGACTGTTTCGGTAATGACTGTTTCGGTAGTGTATGTTTCGGTAGTGACTCTTTCGGTACTGTCTGTTTCGGTAGTGAATCTTTCGGTAGTGACTGTTTCAGTAATGACTGTTTCGGTAGTGTCTGTTTCAGTAGTGACTTTCAGTAATGACTGTTTCGGTAGTGTCTGTTTCGGTAGTGTCTGTTTCGGTAGTGTCTGTTTCAGTAGTGTCTGTTTCAGTAGTGACTGTTTCGGTAGTGTCTGTTTCGGTAGTGACTCTTTCGGTAGTGTCTGTTTCGGTAGTGAATCTTTCGGTAGTGTCTGTTTCGGTAGTGACTGTTTCGGTAGTGTCTGTTTCGGTAGTGACTGTTTCGGTAGTGTCTGTTTCGGTAGTGACTGTTTCGGTAGTGACTGTGTCAGTAGTGACTGTTACGGTAGTGTCTGTTTCAGTAGTGACTGTTTCGGTAGTGTCTGTTTCGGTAGTGACAGTTTCAGTAGTGACTGTTTCAGTAATGACTGTTTCGGTAGTGTCTGTTTCGGTAGTGTCTGTTTCAGTAGTGACTGTTTCGGTAGTGTCTGTGTCGGTAGTGTCTGTTTCAGTATTGACTGTTTCAGTAGTGTCTGTTTCAGTAGTGTCTGTTTCGGGAGTGACAGTTTCAGTAGTGACTGTTTCAGTAGTGTCTGTTTCGGTAGTGACTCTTTCGGTAGTGACTCTTTCGATAGTGTCTGTTTCGGTAGTGAATCTTTCGGTAGTGTCTGTTTCAGTAGTGACTGTTTCAGTAATGACTGTTTCGGTAGTGTCTGTTTCGGTAGTGTCTGTTTCGGTAGTGTCTGTTTCAGTAGTGTTTCTTTCGGTAGTGTCTGTTTCAGTAGTGACTGTTTCAGTGGTGTCTGTTTCAGTAGTGTCTGTTTCGGTAGTGTCTGTTTCGGTAGTGACTGTTGCAGTAGTGTCTATTTCGGTAGTGTCTGTTTCGGTAGTGACTGTTTCGGTAGTGTTTGTTTCAGTAGTGACTGTTTCAGTAGTGTCTGTTTCAGTAGTGTCTGTTTCGGTAGTGTCTTTCAGTAATGACTGTTTCGGTAGTGACTGTTGCAGTAGTGTCTGTTTCGGTAGTGTCTGTTTCAGTAGTGACTTTCAGTAATGACTGTTTCGGTAGTGTCTGTTTCAGTAGTGTCTGTTTCAGTAGTGACTGTTTCGGTAGTGTCTGTTTCGGTAGTGTCTGTTTTGGTAGTGACAGTTTCAGTAGTGTCTGTTTCAGTAGTGACTGTTTCAGTAATGACTGTTTCGGTAGTGTCTGTTTCGGTAGTGAATCTTTCGGTAGTGACTGTTTCAGTAATGACTGTTTCGGTAGTGTCTGTTTCAGTAGTGACTTTCAGTAATGACTGTTTCGGTAGTGTCTGTTTCAGTAGTGACTGTTTTGGTAGTGTCTGTTTCGGTAGTGACTGTTTCGGTAGTGTCTGTTTCGGTAGTGACTCTTTCGGTAGTGAATCTTTCGGTAGTGTCTGTTTTGGTAGTGACTGTTTCGGTAGTGTCTTTTTCGGTAGTGACTGTTTCAGTAGTGTCTGTTTCAGTAGTGACTGTTTCAGTAGTGTCTGTTTCAGTAGTGACTGTTTCAGTAGTGACTGTTTCGGTAGTGTCTGTTTCAGTAGTGTCTGTTTCAGTAGTGGCTGTTTCAGTGGTGACTGTTTCAGTATTGACTGTTTCAGTAGTGGCTGTTTCAGTGGTGACTGTTTCAGTAGTGTCTGTTTCAGTAGTGACTGTTTCAGTGATAATTTTAGCTCATTCTGAGCTCAGAAACTCAGCAGTTCATGACCAGCAAACACAGCTCTGAACAGCTGTTCACACAGAAAATCATCATATTTTACATTAAAACACTAAAAAGTGCTGAACTGCAGAAAATATGACGATTCTTAATGTTCCACACTGATTTTCAGACTTTGGGACTCATTTACTTCAAAATTATGGGATCTAAGGCCACATTCAGTTTACCAGCCTGAAGTGACACACATTTTTTGCCCTAATGTGACTCAGATCTGATGTTTTCAGGGCTGTGTGGACTCTGATCTTTTCAAATCCGACCTGAGCCACTTTCATATGTGGTTCTAGATCGGATACATGTCCGATTCGTGGTCATGTGACCTTAATGTGACGCTCAGATCGGAATTCATGTGCTTTTTTTCCACTGCGCCATCATTCAGCGTTACCATGGCAACAGCGCCGAACAGAAGTTAAAGCCTGTAAACGGTGGAAAAGCAGCTCATCTCACCTTTTTCTCCTTCGTCTCGCTCTAATAATGAAGCTGAGAGCTGATCAGAGTTAATGATCTTCTCAGCGAAGCTCGTTCTGCTCGTTAGTTTGTGCTGATGATGAACGTGATTCATTCACGTGACGTTACTGAGTAGGATGAGCTCATGAGGGTCATTTCAGGACGCCGGTTCATCACATTAATGACAGATTTGAGTCACTTACTAAACGAGTGTGAACCGTCATGTCAGAGAGATCGGATTTGAGCAAAAAATCGGATTTGAGCAACGAGGCATGTAATGTGAACGTGGCCTAACTGCTCACCATGTGGCCATAAAAGACAGGGACGCAGCCTCGCTTCCTTTCTCGCTGTGTGTGGTGAGACTGGTGATAGTAATGTGTTTATTTTTCACTAACTCAGTCCGAGTGCATCGTAGACCGGACACTAGATATTATGTCTTTCCCAGTAAAGAAGAAAATGCATTATGTTATTCTGTATGATTGAACCGTCTCGTAAGTGTTTATCTATTTATTTATCAGTTGGTATTAATAACTCTCCAGCAGGTGGAGCCCACGTGGCGTCAGTGGGTGGAGTTCCTGGTGAAGTTCTCTCTGCTGCCCTATCAGCTGCTGGCGGAGTTCGCGTGGGATTGGCTGAGCGTTCACTACTGGACGTCCCGCTTCGTTATCGTTAACGCCATGCTGCTGTCCGTGCTGGAGGGCTGCAGCTTCTGGAGGGTCTGGAGCCGAGGGGAGATCAGGTGACCACACCTACTCACTCGTGTTCGCATGTAAAGCAAGATTGAACCTCCAACAAAGCAAAATATTCCAGTTTTTGAAGGTGCAGGAGTCAGAATTGAGGTTATTTGAGCCTCTAGTGGTTAAACAAGTGAACTACAACAACATTGGAGCATTTTTTTGTTACCCTTTGGCTCCGCCTCCCTTTCCCACCCATCAGCACAAAGCACGTGGTAGAATGGACTGTGGAGTTGTTTTAAAGTTCCCCTTTAAATGCTGTGTTATTACAGTGTGTGACACTAGCTGTGTTTTGTATTGTTTATTTTGTGGGCGGAGTCAGTAGAATAAAACAAAAGCACAGCATAATGTGTCTTTAAAGGGGAATTCCACCTATTTTTCAAAATTCCTGTATAATTAAATGATTAAAATGTAAACAGAGTGGTTCAGAGTGGTTTGGTGTGAAACGCTCTGTTCTAGATAAACTTACCGAGTCAGAACTGTTCACAGTGGTGGTGATAGGAACCAGACGTCCACCTCTAAAAGCTCCCTCACAGAAAGTTCCTACAGTAAATGGTTATGAATTCACTGCCTGATGACTGAGACACTGTTTTATGATAGTTTAGAGAACTTAAACTCCATTCATGGTGGAGGGATACATGCAGGGTGCTGTGAGGCAAAATAGTCCCCAAAGAAAACTTATTATTTCAGATTTTCCACTATTTTCCATCATCAACATTCCATATAGACTCAGAAGACTCGTGTAGGTTCACTGGTGGTTCTGGATAGTAAATAAAATGTCTATATTTGTGTTGTAGTCATGGCGACCCCTGGTTCCTGTCACCACCACTGTAAAGACATCTGAACCATTTCACACCAAACCACTCTGAATCACACTGTTTACAGCTCACACATTGAAAATGTGAAAAATTGGTGGAGTTCCCCTTTAAATGGAGCGTGGAATGGCTGAAGCGTTTGTTTATATCAGTGTGCATGTGAAATTAGTACTGTCACTTATTATTGTTGGTGTTATGGATGATATTGATGGTAATTTAACAGTAATGCATGTGTTCCCATCTCTGTGTTTAGAGGAACGTCCAATAACGTAACTCTCCCTCTGCGTGTTTTAGGACGCTCCCTAAGCGGATGTTTGGTCACCTGTGGAAGATGCTGACCCACAGTTTGGCCTTCATGCTCTTCTGGCCGCTCGTCCCTCAGTTCGTGTGTAACTGCCTGTTCTACTGGGCTCTGTACTTCAACCCCATCATTAACATAGACATGGTGGTACAGCAGCTGATGCACACACACACACACCACGCGTAACACACACACACACACACACACACACACCACGCGTAACACACACACACACACACACACACACACACCACGCGTAACACACACACACACACACACACCACACACACACCACGCGTAACACACACACACACACACACACACACACACACACCACGCGTAACACACACACACACACACACACACACCACGCGTAACACACACACACACACACACACACACACACACACACCACGCGTAACACACACACACACACACACACACCACGCGTAACACACACACACACACACACCACGCGTAACACACACACACCCACGCGTAACACACACACACACACACACACACCACCACGTGTAACACACACACACACACACCACGCGTAACACACACACACCATGTGTAACACACACACACACACACACACACACACCACGCGTAACACACACACACACACACACACCAACACACACACACACACACACACCACGCAACACACACCACGCGTAACACACACACACACACACACACACACCACGCGTAACACACACACACACACACACCACGCATAACACACACACACACACACACACACACACACCACGCGTAACACACACACACCACGCGTAACACACACAGACACACACACACACACACCACGCGTAACACACACACACCACGCGTAACACACACAGACACACACACCACGCGTAACACACACACACACACACACACCACACACACACACACACACACACACACACACACACACACACACACCACGCGTAACACACACACACCACGCGTAACACACACACACCACGTGTAACACACACACACCACGCGTAACACACACACACACACCACGCGTAACACACACACACCACGTGTAACACACACACCACGCGTAACACACACACACACACACACACCACGCGTAACACACACACACACACACACACACCACGCGTAACACACACACACCATGTGTAACACACACACACACACACACACCACGCGTAACACACACACACCATGTGTAACACACACACACACACACACCACGCGTAACACACACACACACACACCACCACGCGTAACACACACACACCACGGGTAACACACACACACACACACACACCATGTAACACACACACACACACCCCACACGTAACACACACACACCACACGTAACACACACAAACACACACACACCCCACACGTAACACACACACACCACACGTAACACACACAAACACACACACACACCACGCGTAACACACACACACACACACCACGCGTAACACACACACACACACACCACGCGTAACACACACACACACACACACCCACGCGTAACACACACACACACACCACGCGTAACACACACACACACACACACCACACATAACACACACACACTTAGCTGTAAATGTGAAGGGGAACCCCACCCAGATTTCTACACATAACTCAGTGTGTGAGATGTAAACAGAGTGATTCAGAGTGGTTTGGTGTGAAATGGTTCAGATGTCTTTACAGTGGTGGTGATGGGAACCAGGGGTCGCCATGACTACAACACAGATACAGACATTTTATTTACTATCCAGAACCACCAGTGAACCTACACGAGTCTTCTGAGTTTATATGGAATGTTGATGATGAAAATAGTGGAAAATCTGAAATAATAAGTTTTCTTTGGGGACTATTTTGCCTCACAGCGCCCTGCATGTATCCCTCCACCATGAATGGAGTTTAAGATCTCTAAACTATCATAAAACAGTGTCTCAGTCATCAGGCAGTGAATTCATAACCATTTCATGTAGGAACTTTCTGTGAGGAGCTTTTAGAGGTGGACGTCTGGTTCCTATCACCACCACTGTGAACAGTTCTGACTCGGTAAGTTTCTCCACATCAGATCACTCTGAACCACTCTGTTTACATCTTAACTGTTGATTGTGCAGGAATTTTGGTGGAGTTCCCCTTCCAAACCCAGTTTTAGGCTCTGTCCTGCACAGCCGGCTCTCCTCCCCACCGTCTCCACTGTAATAACACGTTGGTCCTCACCTGGGATGATGAGTATGTGCTGTGCAGGTGATGGAAAGGTGTGTAGACGTGAAACAGGTGAAGGGCGGCTATTATTCCTGCTTAAACACACAGCGGGCAGTTCGGTTAATCCTCACTGTATAATCAGCACAGCTTGATCTTCACACACAGTCTGACTCCCACAGCGTCCTCTCTTTCCCCAGATTTAGCCCACCAGCCGGGACGTGTTCGGGGTCTCAAGTTCACTGCTTTAAGTTTAGCACTGGAGCCACGAGGCTAATGTAGCTAAAAAGTAATGGACACATATTAGCAGAGTGCTAACTGTGCGTCTTACTCATCTCAGACCTCGTTGAGGTTCTCTAACAGACTGGATTTTGTGGTTTATGACACTGTATAACACACTGTTGTCTATAGACATGAGCTAAAGTGTGTATGTGTGTGTATATATATATATATATATATTTCACATATAAATGATACTGCTTAGCCAGATCGTGTTTTTCTAATGCAGTTGTTTTAGGTATGCAGTTAGCACAGTGCTAATTGCTAAGCTAATAAGTTTCCATTACTTGTTAGCTACATTAGCCTCATAGCTCCACTGCTGACTGACTGTATTTGGGGGAAACTGGGAATATTTGATTTATCATTAAGAGATGAGTTGATTCAGTTCTGCTGCAGCAAAGCAGCACTAAATACTCTGAAATACTGTAATATTGTGCGTTTGGGCGTTGTTCCCAATTATGCTTGTAATTTTAGACAAAGTTTTGTTCATTTTTAAATTGCAGATTAGTTAACACATCCTCTACAGCGCACAGACTTAAATATAGCATTTTTCTGTAAATTTACCGATTTTTACATTTTTTGCTTAATTTGACCAACTGGGAAAAATTAAAGCATAAAATGTGACACTTTTTCACATTTGTTTTGTTTTTCAAAATCTAATGTTCAGAAAATAAACAGGTTATTCTCACAAACATGAGAAATTATGCCCAACTTGAAAAAATTAGACTAAAACCTTTTATTTTTGAAAAACAAAAAACAGTAATGCCTAGTTGAATAATTAAAAACACCCCGGAATTGTGTAATTGATTTGTAGTAATAATTTTTAGTAGTAAATGTTCCAGAATGATCAGAATCTTATCACTGTAGCACAGTTTTATTTAAAAATGAATGTCAGTAATTTCCCGTGATGTTTCTTTGTATAAAAACATTTACTGTATGATTTACAGAACATATTGCAGTTTTATCTCATCATAACATGCTGAGGTTTTTCTTTACACTCGTGCCCCAAAACATGTTTTGGTTCACATTCTTACAGTTTACAAGGAAAACATCAGAGATTCAACAGTTAAAAGGGATACAAACTCTTTATTTTCTGATAAATATCTGTAATAACAAACATTTTGGCAGTAATGAGAATTCTGTTTTTTTTTGTCTATTTTTGTTTATTAAGACAGAAAAAATTAAAAAGGAAAATAAACAATTGAACTGTAATCAATATCGAGCTCCATCCAATCTACTAAATGATGTTTGTCATTTATCTGTGTGAGAATGACCCAAACATTGACTGTGTATTAAACTGGGCATTAAGTGTGTCTCTATAGAGGATGTGTTAACTTATTCACACTCAGAAAATCAGCAGCATCATTGAATTCGACCAGACTTTTGCACAGGAGTGTAAATTCTAAAGACGTCTTAATATCAAGTGCTTCTCTTGAGGTTATTTTGCACTTAAACCTCAGTAATAATACAGTAATATATTCCAGTTTCCTGTTCTGTTTGTTTTGCGTTGTTATGCTGAGTTTATCTTAGAAACGTAATGCAGGTTGTTTCCGTTCGGCGAGATTCCGCCCATCTGATCGTTGAATATTAAGGGCTACGGTTTGAAGACGGACTGTTATTGTATGAGTGAGTGAGTGTGAGAACGTTCATAATTCATCTCGGAAGTGAAGTTCGTTGAGGCTCAGTTAGTTACGGCAAATTCTTTATTCCGTACAAGCTGTGTTCGTTATTTGTCTGTTATAGTTTGTAATTTTGTTGATTTATAAATGTTTATTTTTGTATTGATTCCCCTTTTTTCGCTTAATGCTGGAGCAAAATGACTGAAAATGTTTTTAATAAAAACAAATTGTTAAAAGTGAAACGTGCTTACAGAGAATGATTTAATGTTAGTCAGAAAGAGGCTTTTATGCACTGCCCATCAAAGGTTTGGGGAAAATGTAGTTGTCTCAATAATTTAAGAGTTTTCTGTTAAAAGAGCATATTGGTCCAAAAGTGGTTTAAAAAAACATAGCAACCATCTGGGATACCATAGCAATGGCCTAGCAACTCCTTAGCAACAACCTGGGATATTATAGCAATGGCCTAGCTACACCTTAGCAATAATTTGGGATACAATGGAAACAGCCTGGAAACACCATAGCAACTACATTGGGTACCATTGCAACAACCTTGCAACACCTTAGCAACCACCTGGGATTCCATAGAAAAGCCTGGCAACATCTTAGCAACAACCTGGGATAGCATAGGAACAGCCTAGAAACACCATAGCAACAACCTGGGATACCATCTCAACATCTTAGCAACCACCAGGCAACACCTTAGCAACAGCCTAGCAACACCTTAGTAAACACCTGGGATACCATAGCAATGGCCAAGCAAAACCTTAGCAATCACATGGGATACAATAACAACAATCCTGCAACACCTTAGCAACAAGCTAGGATACCACCTGGTAACCACCTGGAATACCATAGCAACAGCCTATTAACACCTTAGCAACCACCTGGGATACCATAGCAACAGCCTATTACCCCTTAACAACCACCTAGAATAACATAGGAACAACCTAGAAACACCATAGCAATAGCCTAGCAAAACCTTAGCAACCACCTGGGATACAATAGCAACAATCCTGCAACACCTTAGCAAAACGCCAGGATACCATCTGTCAACCTCCTGGAATACCAGTGCTACAAACTAGCAACACCTCAGTTATAACCTGGGATGCGATAGGAACAGTCTAGAAACACCATAGCAACCGCTTTGGATACCATTGCTACAACCTAGCCACACCTTAGCAACCATCTGGAATACCGTAGCAACAGCCTATTAACACCTTAACAACCACCTGGGATACCCTAGCAGCGCCTTAGCAACCACCTGGGGTACCATAGAAACAGCCTATCAACACCTTCGTGTCCACCTGGTATGTCACAGATATTTAAAGTGTGATACTGTTTTCCTTAAATGAACCTGATTAGGCTTTAATGTGGAAAGATTCTGTGAACTGATAAAGAAAACATGATTATTATCATTATTATTATTGAAGCAGGTTGATAATCTAGACGTCCACAAACGTCTGACGGGCAGTGCGTTTCAGGAAGAACACGAGGACATTATTCCAAAAACAGGAACTCCATAATAATGTAATGAGGTGAGTGTGTTTGTGTGGGGACATCAGTAATAAGCACATGTCGCAAAGTCGGCTCCACAGAGGAAGTGTGGGTAAACGCTGTACTCCAGGTTATACGGAGCTTTCTTCAAACACCTCGCAGCGTCTCGGTCACACACACACAGCATCTTCTCACAGGGGTCGTCTACATCCGCTGCACACAGACACATTACAGCCAGACGTGAGACAGTAACATCTGCAGGCTTTAATACAAGGATATTACTGTAAGATTTTACCACATCAAACATTTAATAAGTATAGCACAGAAAAATGTATTTAAAAAGTGCAGCAGCACTAAAAGATACTGAGGTATTACTGTAAAAGGCGTTGCTATGATATACTCAAATATTGTAAAATGATAAGTTTCATATGTTAAAGAAGATAAAGTTTAACTAATATTTTCAAATATTACTGTAAGAAGGTATAGTTTAACTGTAATATGTTCAGGTATCACTCTAAGAAGGTAAAGTTTAACTGTGATATGTTCAGGTATCACTGTAAGAAGGTAAAGTTTAACTGTGATATGTTCAGGTATCACTGTAAGAAGGTAAAGTTTAACTGTAATATGTTCAGGTATCACTGTAAGAAGGTATAGTTTAACTGTGATATGTTCAGGTATCACTGTAAGAAGGTAAAGTTTAACTGTGATATGTTCAGGTATCACTGTAAGAAGGTAAAGTTTAACTAATATGTTCAGGTATCACTGTAAGAAGGTATAGTTTAACTGTAATATGTTCAGGTATCACTGTAAGAAGGTAAAGTTTAACTGTGATATGTTCAGGTATCACTAAGAAGGTAAAGTTTAACTGTAATATGTTCAGGTATCACTGTAAGAAGGTAAAGTTTAACTGTAATATGTTCAGGTATTACTCTAAGAAGGTAAAGTTTAACTGTAATATGTTCAGGTATCACTGTAAGAAGGTGAAGTTTAACTGATATGTTCAGGTATCACTGTAAGAAGGTAAAGTTTAACTGTAATATGTTCAGGTATCACTGTAAGAAGGTATAGTTTAACTGTAATATGTTCAGGTATTACTCTAAGAAGGTAAAGTTTAACTGTAATATGTTCAGGTATCACTGTAAGAAGGTAAAGTTTAACTGTGATATGTTCAGGTATCACTGTAAGAAGGTAAAGTTTAACTGTAATATGTTCAGGTATCACTGTAAGAAGGTAAAGTTTAACTGTAATATGTTCAGGTATCACTGTAAGAAGGTAAAGTTTAACTGTGATATGTTCAGGTATCACTGTAAGAAGGTAAAGTTTAACTGTAATATGTTCAGGTATCACTGTAAGAAGGTATAGTTTAACTGTAATATGTTCAGGTATCACTGTAAGAAGGTAAAGTTTAACTGTGATATGTTCAGGTATCACTGTAAGAAGGTAAAGTTTAACTGTAATATGTTCAGGTATCACTGTAAGAAGGTAAAGTTTAACTGTGATATGTTCAGGTATCACTGTAAGAAGGTAAAGTTTAACTGTAATATGTTCAGGTATCACTGCAAGAAGGTAAAGTTTAACTGTAATATTTTCAGCTATCACTGTAAGAAGGTTAGTTTAAAGGTTTGTGTACCACAGTCTTGTTCATAAGTGCCGCAGCTCCATCTGTATCTGTCTGATTTGGAGTTGCAGCCTTTATCCACCGCCTTCGCATAGCAACAGTCGTGCTTATGACAACACCTGAAACACACAGTGAACATTTACAGTGTATTACACATATAATTACACACTCTACACATACAAGTTCATTCTAATATTAATTTATTAAACACATTTCAGTATATTTTAGAATCATCTACAGTTCTGTTCATCATTCTGGATCTGGATTTATGTTTAAAACACATTTATATAGTGTTCTGGATCAGAGCTGTGTTGAGAGCAGTGACTGTGTATTGTGAACAGTGTATGTACAGTGTTATATGTATATGTTCTCACCAGTCGGCGGTGTCTCTGGGCCAGCCCTGCCCCCCCAGCCCGCAGTAACAGCCGTACACAGTGTAGGCCAGCGCATGCCTGCCAGTGCTGCATTTCATCAAACCACTCAGCTCCAGAAGACTGCGGCTCACCCGCACTGACCCCAAACAAACCGGCCAGGAGACTGCACATAAACAAACAAAGAAACAAAGAAACAAACAAAATAAACAAAGAAACAAACAAAATAACTAACAAATCTTGAATCATTAAAGATGTAGGTACATTATATACTTACAGTTACATTATTTTAGTAAAGTTATATTTATGCAGATATACTTTTTGCTCTTATATACTGTTACGTACTTGTATGCATATATGTCCTGTATTAATTAAACTGGCACTGTGTTCATTAACCACTGTATTCAATAATCCCAAATTAGCACTGTATTCATTAATCTTAAAATAGCACTATATTCATTAATCCTGAAATAACACTGTACTCATCAATCCCAAACTAACACTGTATTCATCAATCCCAAACTGGCACTGTATTCATTAATCTTGATCTAGCACTGTATGCATTAATCCCAAACAGGCACTGTATTCATTAATTCTGAACTAGCACTGTATTCATTAACCCCAAAACTAGCACTGTATTCATTAATCCCAAACTAACACTGTATTCACCAATCCCAAACTAGCACTGTATTCATTGATCCCAAACTAGCACTGCATTCATCAATCCCAAACTAGCACTGTATTCATTAATCACAAACTAACGCTTTTCACCAATCCCAAACTAGCACTGTATTCATTCATTCTGAACTAACACTGTATTCATTAATCCTGAACTAATTCTGTATTCATTCATTCTGAACTAACACTAAATTAATCCTGAACTAACACTGTATTCATTCATTCCGAACTAGTACTGTATTCATTATTCCTGAACTAGCACTGTATTCATTAATCCCACACTAGCACTGTATTCACCAATCCCAAACTGACACTGTATTTTTCAATCCCAAACTAACATTGTATTCATAAATTCCAAACTAGCACTGTATTCATTAATTCTGAGCTAGCACTGTATTCATCATTCCCATACTAGCACTGTATTAATTAATCCTGAACTAACACTGTATTAATTAATCCTCATCTAACACTGTATTTATTCATTCTGAACTAACACTATATAATTCATCCTGAACTAAAACTGTATTCATTTGTTCTGAACTAGTACTGTATTCATTATTCCTGAACTAGCACTGTATTCATCAATCCCACACTAGCACTGTATTCATCAATCCCACACTAGCACTGTATTCATTAATCCTGAAATAACATTGTATTCATCAATCCCAAACTAACACTGAATTTTTCCATCCTAAACTGACACTGTATTCATCAATTCCAAACTAATACTGTATTCATTAATTCTGAACTAGCACTGTATTCATCAATCTTAAACTAGCATTGTATTTATTATTCCCAAACTGGCACTGTATTCATTAATCTTGATCTAGCTCTGTATTAATCAATCCCAAACTACCACTGTATTCATCAGTCCCAAACTAGAACTGTATTCATTAGTCCTGAACTAACACTGTATTCATTATCCTAAATTAGCACTGCATTCATTAATCCCACATAGCATAGTATTAATTAATCTCAATCTGGCACTGTATCCATTAATCCTGAACTAACATTACATTCATAATTATAAAATAGCTCTGTATTCATTAACCCCCAAATACCTTTATATTCATTAATCTCAATATATCACTGCCTGCATTAATCCCTAACTAGCACTGTATTCATAGTTCTGAATTAGCACTGTATTAATTCATTCTGAATGAGCACTGTATTCATTAATCCTAATCTAGCACTGCATTCATTTATCTGGAACTATCACAGTATTTATTAATCCCAAATTAGCACTGTATTCATTAATCCCAAAATAACACTAAATTCATTAATTCCAAGTAGCATAGTATTCATTAATCTCGATCTAGCACTGTATTCATCAATCCCAAATCAGCATTGTATTCATGAATCCTGAATTAACACTGTATTCATTAATCTTGAACAAACACTCTATTAATTAACCGTAAACTAACACTATATTCATTAATCCTGAACTGGTGCTGTATTAATTAATCCTACACTAGCACTGCATTCATTAATCCTGAACTGGGACTGTATTAATTAATCCTACACTAACACTGCATTCATTAATTCTGAACTGGGACTGTATTAAATAATCCTGAACTAACACTGCATTCATTAATCCTGAACTGGGACTGTATTAAACAATCCTGAACTAGCACTGTATTCATTAATCCTGAACTGGGACTGTATTAATTAATCCTACACTAACACTGCATTCATTAGTCCTAAACTGGGACTGTATTAATTAATCCTACACTAACACTGCATTCATTAATCCTGAACTGGGACTGTATTAAATAATCCTGAACTAGCACTGTATTCATTAATCCTGAACTGGGACTGTATTAATTAATCCTGTACTAACACTGCATTCATTAATCCTGAACTGGGACTGTATTAAACAATCCTGAACTAACACTGCATTCATTAATCCTGAACTGGAACTGTATTAAACAATCCTGAACTAACACTGTATTCATTAATCTCAACCCAACACTGTGTTCAAAAATCTTGAACTTGCACTGCTTTGTTTAATCCAGTATTATGTAAGTCTGCTTTCTGATTATCTGTAAACTGTATCCTGATAAATGAATGAAGTCGTACCTGAGAGGAGGAGCAGAGTGAGGATGTGGAGAGCAGCCATCTGAGGAGATCTGAGATCAGAGTATCTGTGCTCACTCTGCTGCTGCTGCTTCAACCCTAACTCAGAGGGGCTGTTTACATTTATACAGCTGTACTTATTCTGATTATATACACTACAGTCATAACTGCCTGGTCAAACAGGTGAGTGAACTCATTCCCCTCAGATAAACCCAGTAAATGAAACTCTGCTGCGTTCAGTGTTTATTCCAGTTGGATAAATCAGATCACATGTAGTTGTTGATGTTCTGAGTGTGAATAAGTTTACACGTCCTCTACAGAGACTCACTTCTGCACAGTTTAACACACAGTGAGTGTTTATTCACTGGATTAAACACACTGGGGGGGGGTTATGACATTATGAAGAAGTTAATTAAGAGAAGTTATGACATAATTTATGTTTATGTTTTATTTTTTCTGTACATTAAACACCACATAGAAATAAAACGAGACAACAAAATATGAAGGAAGTGTCATATTTAAGTGAGTCTCTGTAGAGGATGTGTAACTTATTTACACTCAGAACACCGACAACAACAAAGAACTTTAATAATAATAACAATAATAACAATAATAATAATAATAATAATAATAATAATAATCATCATTTTATGAACGATGAATTACGTTTATACGTTTAGAAAGGATCAATAGTTTATCAATCACAGGCTGTGTTTACAGTTTTATTAGTGATCAGTAGTTTATTGATCTCAGGCGTTGTTTACTGATTTATTAGTGATCAGTAGTTTATTGATCTCAGGCGTTGTTTACAGTATTATTACTGATCAGTAGTTTATTGATCTCAGGCGTTGTTTGCAGTTTTATTAGTGATCAGTAGTTTATTGATCTCAGGCGTTGTTTACTGATTTATTAGTGATCAGTAGTTTATTGATCTCAGGCGTTGTTTACAGTTTTATTAGTGATCAGTAGTTTATTGATCTCAGGCGTTGTTTACTGATTTATTAGTGATCAATATTGATGAACATGGTTAATTTCTGCCTGTCGCTTTAATTTCAGAGCGAGCTTTCTCCCCTGTGGGGATTTTGGCCAATCAGATTGAAGAACGTTGTCCTGTGTGGAGACGTCACGCGGTGGGCGAGGCTACAGCACTACTGCGGTAAGGGATCCGGCGGCGGTGTAAAGACACCGACCAGCTGGCAGGGGAAGTTCACGACTGTCGCTTCTTTTACCTTTTAATTTATAATTTTTTTTCTGTGTTGTTAATTAACGCTGGACTGGCCGAGCGCTGTGTTCGCACTGCTGCGTGTTTGCACGCGCTGACATCAAAGAGTTTTATTTCACTCCGTGTTGACTGTAGAAGGGACGTTGACTGACGGTCCCTTACTGAAACAAGCGCTTCCTCGCCGTGTTTACAGTCTGTATTCGCGGTTTCAGGTGTTTAAAGAGGTGCAGGCCTTAATTTGAACCCTCAGATTTTAAATTTGACATTAAAAGTGTCATTTGAAGCGTAAACCTTTGATTTTCAGCCCCGAGCCGCAGAATCTGCCGTTCAGATCTGAGCGAGTCAGCCTGCACTGCTGAGGGATCATCTGTAAAGTTCACATCAGCGCAGGAAACGGAGGAGTTGTGTGCTGGAGCAGGAAAAACAATAAGTTGTGCTTTTTGTTTACATGTAATTTTTATTTATTTTGACAACTGTGTTTTTAAATTATTAAAATATGATCTTATTTATTTATTTATATTAATTTATTATCTATTAATTATTTGTTCAGAAAACCCCAACACAACAATAACAAATACTCTTTACTGTCTTTTTGTTCATTTGAAGATTTTCTAAAATTACATTTTTTTACAACTCTCATTATACACTGTATACAGTGTATAATGAGAGTTAAATGTATTCAGTGTATAATGAGTGTTGAATGTATTCAGTGTATAATGAGAGTTAAATGTATACAGTGTATAATGAGTGTTGAATGTATTCAGTGTATAATGAGTGTTGAATGTATTCAGTGTATAATGAGTGTTGAATGTATTCAGTGTATAATGAGAGTTAAATGTATACAGTGTATAATGAGTGTTGAATGTATTCAGTGTATAATGAGAGTTAAATGTATACAGTGTATAATGAGTGTTGAATGTATTCAGTGTATAATGAGTGTTACATGTATTCAGTGTATAATGAGAGTTAAATGTATTCAGTGTATAATGAGAGTTAAATGTATACAGTGTATAATGAGTGTTGAATGTATTCAGTGTATAATGAGAGTTAAATGTATACAGTGTATAATGAGTGTTGAATGTATTCAGTGTATAATGAGAGTTAAATGTATACAGTGTATAATGAGTGTTGAATGTATTCAGTGTATAATGAGAGTTGAATGTATTCAGTGTATAATGAGAGTTGAATGTATACAGTGTGTAATGAGTGTTGAATGTATTCAGTGTATAATGAGAGTTAAATGTATACAGTGTATAATGAGTGTTGAATGTATTCAGTGTGTAATGTGTGTTGAATGTATTCAGTGTGTAATGAGTGTTGAATGTATACAGTGTATAATGAGAGTTAAATGTATTCAGTGTATAATGAGAGTTGAATGTATTCAGTGTATAATGAGAGTTAAATGTATACAGTGTATAATGAGTGTTAAATGTATTCAGTGTATAATGAGTGTTGAATGTATTCAGTGTATAATGAGTGTTGAATGTATTCAGTGTATAATGAGAGTTAAATGTATACAGTGTATAATGAGTGTTAAATGTATTCAGTGTATAATGAGTGTTGAATGTATACAGTGTGTAATGAGTGTTAACTGTATACAGTGCGCGTGTTTATGGTGTGTAGTAGTTTATCAGCGGTCCCTCCGCGTGGCCACGCCCCTCCCCGCTCCACTCCGGAAGAGCTCGCGCTGTGTGAGTGTGTGTGTGTGTGTGTTGTGTACAGTGAGTGTGTGTACTGTAGAGTGTGTAGAGCGTGTGTAGTGCTCTGTGTGTAGTGTGTGTGTGTGTGAGTGTGAGTGTGTGTGTGTGTGTGATGGTGCGGGGCCGCATGGCCGCGGTGATGTGCGGCGCGCTGCTGCTGGGTCTCGCGCTGCTGCTGGCGCTCACGCTCAACTGCAGGTACGACCACCTTGTGTGAGTGTGTGTGTGTGTGTGTGTGTGTGTGTGTGTGTGATAAACAGTACTTCAGGCTCGCAGATGTGGTCATTTATCAGTGCAGGTGGTGGTGACGTGTCCCAGGTGAGGAGGCTCGCGCTCTGACAGCGGTCAGAGTGGATTAGCCGCGGTTACAGTGCAGTGCAGTTCAGTTCAGTGAGCGCAGTTGGTTTAACTTCACTGCTCAGTTCAGTGTTTAACTGTACAGTAGAGTCTTCGAGCCTCTGTCGGTTCCGGATGGTTCTGCACGGTGTTCTGCCTCTCTGATTGATTGGTATCACAGTGTAAAGGGTTCTAGTGGTCTAACAGGTGTTTCTTAGCTGATTCTGGTTCCTTAATGGGACCTAAAGATGTTCTACAGGAACCAGAGGTCGCTAACAGCCGACTGATTCCATATGGTTAGAGAAACCAAGTCCCCCCCCCTGCTAAAAAGGACCATTAGAACCATTAGGATTTGGTGATAGTTTTGCTTTCTAATGGGAATTGGCTTCATGGTTACCAGTAGAGACCACTGGTTTCCTGTAGAACACCTTTAGAACCCATTATGAAACAATTAAATGCGTCTGCAATCAGTCCCAGAGCAAGCTGGTCATGTTGGTCCACCAGCTTGTTCATTTTCTACTAGTTTGGTCATACTGGTTGGTCAGCTTGGTTATGCTGGGCGTATTGGTCACTCAGCTTGGTCAACTGGTCATACTGGTTGGTCAGCTTGGTCATGCTGGTCATGTTGGTCCACCAGTTTGGTCATACTGGTTGGTCAGCTTGGTCATGCTGGTCTACCAGCTTGGTCAGCTGGTTGTACTGGTTGGTCAGTTTGGTCATGCTGGTCATGTTGGTCTACCAGCTTGGTCATACTGGTTGGTCAGCTTGGTCATGCTGGTCTTGTTGGTCTACCAGCTTGGTCAGCTGGTTGTACTGTTTGGTCGTGCTGGTCATGTTGGTCTACCAGCTTGGTCATACTGGTTGGTCAGCTTGGTCATGCTGGTAATGTTGGTCTACTAGCTTGTTCATGGTCTACCAGATTGGTCATTTTGGTCTACCAGCTTGGTCATACTTGTTGGCAAGCTTGGTCAAGCTGGTCATGCTGGTCATATTGGTCATTCAGCTTGGTCAGCTGGTCATGCTGGTTGACCATCTTGATCATGCTGGTTGGTCATTTTGGTCATGATGGTCATGTTGGTCTACCAGCTTAGTCATGCAGCTGATACTGGTCATTCAGCTTGGTCAACTGGTCATGCTGGTGAATGTGCTTGGTCATGCTGGTCTATCAGCTTGGTCATACTGGTCATGGTTTCAAAGTTTGGTCATGGTGGTCATGCTGGCCCATTAACTTACCTCATCATGCTGGTCAGCTAGCTTAGTCATGCTGGTCATAGTGGTCATGCTAATCGGCCAGCAAGCTGGTCATGGTTGATGGTGTGACCAAGCAGCTTGACCAGCTAAACCATCACTGCTCAGCCAGCTCAGCTAGTCTACCAGACTAACCAGTTCAACCAGCCTGAGCTGTTTCAGCAGGTTCACTGTAGAGAAAGGCTCAGATGTCTTTACAGTGGTGGTGATAGGAACCAGGGGTCGCCATGACTACAACACAAATATAGACATTTTATTTACTATCCAGAACCACCAGTGAACCTACACGAGTCTTCTGAGTTTATATGAATGTTGATGATGGAAAATAGTGGAGAATCTGAAATAATAAGTTTTCTTTGGGGACTATTTTGCCTCACAGCGCCCTGCATGTATCCCTCCACCATGAATGGAGTTTAAGTTCTCTAAACTATCATAAAACAGTGTCTCAGTCATCAGGCAGTGAATTCATCACCATTTACTGTAGGAACTTTCTGTGAGGGAGCTTTTAGAGGTGGACGTCTGGTTCCTATCACCACCACTGTGAACAGTTCTGACTCTAGAACGGAGTGTTTTTACTAGAACAGAGTTAATAACAGCAATAATAATGATAATGATCTGTCTCTCTCTCTCTCTCTCTCTCTCTCTCTCTCTCTCTGTCTCTCTCTGTCTGTCTCTCTATCTGTCTCTCTCTCTTTCTCTCTCTGTCTCTCTGTCTCTCTCTCTGTCTCTCTCTCTGTCTGTCTCTCTGTCTCTCTCTGTCTGTCTCTCTCTGTCCGTCTCTCTGTCTCTCTCTCTCTCTCTCTCTGTCTCTCTCTGTCTGTCTCTCTATCTGTCTCTCTCTCTTTCTCTCTCTGTCTCTTTGTCTCTCTCTCTCTCTGTCTCTCTCTCTGTCTGTCTCTCTCTGTCTCTCTCTCTGTCTGTCTCTCTGTCTCTCTCTCTCTCTCTCTCTCTCACTTTCTCTCTCTGTCTGTCTGTCTGTCTGTCCCTCTCTCTGTCTCTCTCTCTCTGTCTCTCTCTCTGTCTCTCTCTCCAGCCGAGCGAAGGACGTGGTGGCTGCAGCTCGCACCCCGGTGCGGTTCTTCTCCCCTCAGGTTCCTGTGGTTGACCTGTTCCTGGGTCAGCAGGATCAGGCAGAGCGGCTGAGGGAGGGGGCCGATGTGTGTGTGCTGGTTTATTACGCCCCCTGGTGTGCGCACTCCATCAGGGCACGGGAGCAGGTCCAGCAGGTGGCGCTGCGCATGGCCGACCAGGTACTCAGTCACAGTAGAACCCTAATAATGCGTTCTTTAACCAAGCGGTTCCTGTGTACGTGTTCTGTGATGATGCGTTTCCTGTGTGGTTCCGTGTTCTGTGATGATGCGTTTCCTGTATAGTTACGTGTTCTGTGATGATGCGTTTCCTGTGTGGTTACGTGTTCTGTGATGATGCGTTTCCTGTATAGTTACGTGTTCTGTGATGATGCATTTCCTGTGTGGTTACGTGTTCTGTGATGATGCGGTTCCTGTGTGGTTCCGTGTTCTGTGATGATGCGTTTCCTGTATAGTTACGTGTTCTGTGATGATGCGTTTCCTGTGTGGTTCCGTGTTCTGTGATGATGCGTTTCCTGTATAGTTACGTGTTCTGTGATGATGCGTTTCCTGTGTGGTTACATGTTCTGTGATGATGCGTTTCCTGTGTGGTTCCGTGTTCTGTGATGATGCGTTTCCTGTATAGTTACGTGTTCTGTGATGATGCGTTTCCTGTGTGGTTACATGTTCTGTGATGATGCGTTTCCTGTGTGGTTCCGTGTTCTGTGATGATGCGTTTCCTGTATAGTTACGTGTTCTGAGATGATGCGTTTCCTGTGTGGTTACGTGTTCTGTGATGATGCGGTTCCTGCGTGGTTACGTGTTCTGTGATGATGCGGTTCCTGCATGGTTACGTGTTCTGTGATGATGCGTTTCCTGTGTACGTTGTCTGTGATCATGCGTTTCCTGTGTACATGTTCTGTGATGATGCGTTTCCTGTGTACGTGTTCTGTGATGATGCGTTTCCTGTGTACGTGTTCTGTGATGATGCGTTTCCTGTGTACATGTTCTGTGATGATGCGTTTCCTGTGTACATGTTCTGTGATGGTGCGTTTCCTGTGTACGTTGTCTGTGATCATGCGTTTCCTGTGTACATGTTCTGTGATGATGCGTTTCCTGTGTACGTGTTCTGTGATGATGCGTTTCCTGTGTACGTGTTCTGTGATGATGCGTTTCCTGTGTACATGTTCTGTGATGATGCGTTTCCTGTGTACATGTTCTGTGATGATGCGATTCCTGTGTGGTTCCGTGTTCTGTGATGATGCGATTCCTGTGTACGTGTTCTGTGATGATGCGTTTCCTGTTTGGTTACGTGTTCTGTGATGATGCGTTTCCTGTGTGTTTACTTGTGTATTAATGATGCGTTTCCTGTGTGGTTACCTGTTTATTAATGATGCGTTTCCTGTGTGTTTACTTGTGTATTAATGATGCGTTTCCTGTGTGTTTACTTGTGTATTAATGATGCGTTTCCTGTGTGGTTACTTGTGTATTAATGATGCGTTTCCTGTGTGGTTACTTGTTTATTAATGATGCGTTTCCTGTGTGTTTACTTGTGTATTAATGATGCGTTTCCTGTGTGGTTACGTGTGTATTGATGATGCGTTTCCTGTGTGGTTACGTGTTCTGTGATGATGCGGTTCCTGTGTGGTTACGTGTTCTGTGATGATGCGTTTCCTGTGTGGTTACGTGTTCTGTGATGATGCGTTTCCTGTGTGGTTACGTGTTTATTAATGATGCGTTTCCTGTTCCTGCAGGTTCAGTTCATAGCGGTGAACTGCTGGTGGAATCAGGGAAAGTGCCGGAAGCAGAAGAACTTCTTCCGCTACCCCGTTATTCACCTGTTCTACAGAAGGTGAGAGACGCGGTCTGAAGGCGTGTGGTCATTCTGTTGTTGACCTCACGTCCATTTCAGGAGCTGTGGGTCTGAGCTGTTCACTCTATGAGAAAAATGAATGAGTGCTGTTTTCCAGAATCGCTGCTGTCCCTCAGTCTGGAAACGCGTTCGAAAGCCGATACGTTTAGTCCTGAGTTTACAAACCTCACCGGATCCTCCGGGTGATGAGGTCGTTACGCAGCGGCAGTTAATCAGGAAAACTGGACTGAGCTGAAGGCTGAGTGTGGGTGGTCGTGGGTGACGTTCTCTCTGTGTGTCTGCAGGTTTGGTCCTATAGAGTATAAGGGTCCCCTCGTCGCTGAGTACTTGGAGAGTTTCATCAGGAGGGTCTCCACACCCCTCACATACCTGCCCACCCACACCGCTCTCAACACCTTCATATCCCACCACGAGGTACCACCTGCACCCACCTCACCAGAGGAATCCCATTTTTAATTTCAGGGCGGCCCACTGGGGTCTAAACAGAGTGATGGACAAGATTCTCATTTTCACTCACAGTCCAGTTTACTGATTTCCCCTCATTTCTTTCTTTTAATATCTTATAAAACATTATTATTTATAACAAACCTTAATAAAATAAGTTAATTAAATGAAGTAATTGCTAGCAGCTCTGATGGCACATGTGTAATAACCAGTCTACCACAGTGTCGGCAGCATCATTCATTATAATAATAACGATTGTCTGTCAGGCCTCGCCGTTACATTTTCTTTTCTCCGGTAGTTTGTAGTATTTGTCTTAGTTTAGTTTACAAAATAAAAGTCTGTGTGCATTTAAAATCTGAGAAGATTATAACTAGTTAGGCCGTGTGTACAGGGCAGTAATCTGGGTGGTCCGAGGGGGTCCAGCAGTGGCGTACAGTCAGCAGCGTGCTGACCGGTATATGCCCGCTGTCTGGGGAAGGAACAGCCTTTTGTCTGGTGTTGTTCATCAGATTATTGCTGTTTTATCAGCTCAGCTGAGTTTCTGAGCTCAGCCTCTTGTTCAGCGCTGTGGTTTGTATTGTTTGCTGTGTGTTGTTTGTTTGATGGTATCCGAGCAGGAGA